ATAGCAGAATCCAATATCGTCAAACCTTACCTTCCATGTCTTGTTTCAGGTTGCTTCAGACCACAACCATGTAATTGTGAAACTAATAAAGTATCAGTTAAAGGGGAGATAAATAACATAGCAGAATAAGCAGGACTTCGTTGATTTACTGCTATAGCTAGGATTTGACCATCATTTGAATAAGATGACTGATAAGCTCCTCTACTATTGACAATTTCACAGTTTTTGTTGATTTTATCTATACTGTATTGTAAGCAGCACCATTCTATATGAACAGTTGGACAACTGTAAAAGAAAACAAATTCTTACAATCACTTTTTAACATGTGTTTCAAACTTAAAATGAAATGCAGTTATGTTGTACTTTTATGCTGTTGATTCGGCTAATAAAGACGGGCTAATCCATGCATTAAGCAATGACGAAAATTTTCATATGTGCTGTTTATTTATAAAGTCTAATAAATCTCCCTTGTAGGAGAACCTGCAAGTTGTACCAACAATTCATGTAAATTTGCGATGCTTAAATTGAATCAAAAGAGTTGCCTGGATTAAATGGTGGTTACACTTCCAGATACCTTCTATAATACTGCATAGCAATGGTTTATTACAAGGAAAAGATATTTCAGGATTGTAACTTACTTTTCTGATAAGAGTTCATGTGGAGAAGGAAATCGAAGTAGTAATGTACGGACACAAACTGAATTTCCATGATTAAATACAACAGACCACTGACAACAACTTCCACAAATCTAAAAGAAATATTTACTAAAGAAATAACTTAGTATAGAATTAAATTATAGAGCCCAAGTTTGAAACAAAAGGGTATTATTTGCAAGTTTTTCACATCCAAGTATAAATAGCCCTTACATAATATCCCTTGATCACTGAAATTATAATATTTGTATCATAATTTAGCTAAATTGAAGACACTGGAAGGGATACTGTTGTTGAACTAGCTACCAGCTGATAGAACTGACTTTCAGCTACAAAACCAAACTAGAGCCACACGTGGCACAGAGTGGGACTTTGCAAATGTAGCAAAATGCTAAAGACTCTGAAAAAATCAACCTTCTACGATAATTACATCACGCGCAAGAGCAGTCTAAAGTTGAGAAGAATTGTTTGTAAGATTGTTATAACGGAAGTAAACAGCCCTCACAAATGAAAGTATCAGAAGATAGCCAAGGTCAATGACATTTGACATTGAAAGGGAGACGGTCAACAAAGGTCAAGGTTACGAGATACAAGTCATCCAAATTTTTAATTATATACGGCTATAAAACCGGAAGTTGAGATAGGACAGCAAATATAAAAGTATAAATAGATAGCCAATGTGAATGACCTTTGATCCTACAAAAATCAGGGTCAAAAAAGGTCAAGGTCAAAAATTGAAAATTTTGAATTTTCAAAACCTGTTCCTTTTTTTGAACTATAAAGCTGAAACAATCGAACTTCTAAGACAACGTGGCTCAACGAATGAAGTAATTGTATGCAAAGTTCCATTTTGAACAAAGGTAAACGTTGCGAGTTATGTCCCTTGCCAAAATTGTCAATAATGAGTAATTTAACCCGAATGTGCTACGCCCACCTCAATTTCTTTTGCATAGGTTAATTGATATTCTGAATGTTATGTTGTGTTCCAAATTTAAAGCTTCTACATCATACAGGTCAAAAGATATAGGTCAACAAGAGTCAATAAAGGTCAAAATAGAAAATTGAAAATATAGAAATTTCAAAACCCGTTCCTTTTTTGGAACTATAAAGCTGAAACAATTGACCTATTAACAAAAACTGGCCAAAATCATGAGGTAATTGTGTGCAAAGTTCCTGTTTGAACAAATGTATCCTATGCGAGTTATGCCCCTTTCCCAAAATGTAAACAATTAGTAATTCAACCCGGATGTGCCACGCCCACCTCAACTTTTTTGTCATAGGTTAATTCATATTCAAATTGTCTTGTTGTGTTCCAATTTTCAATGTTCTACATAAAATAGGTCATAAGATATATACACACCAAGCTCAAAGAAACAGAAATATTGTAAAAAAAACTCAAATTTGAAAAATTCACGAATTTCAATTTTGCTTTAAAAAACGATTGTTATAAAT